GGTCCCTAGCATACTCCTCTCCTTGTTCTGGCTCCTCCTTCTTTTCCTCCCCAATTTCTCCTTGTATATATTCTGCCTGCCAGCCCCGCCTATCCTCTCTCCTGCCTTGCTATTGGCCGTTCAGCTCTTTATGAGACCATCGGGTGTTTTAGACAGGCACAGGAACACAGCTTCACAGAGATAAACAAATGCAACAGAAACAAAAGCAACACACCTTAAAATAACATTCTACAACAACTTGATGTTCCTTGCTGTTGGCAGATGGCTTCCCTGCCATGTGAATAGTCTACACCTGACAGTGTAGTTGCTCAGCATGAAGGTGGGTTTAATAAGAATTCACCTTTTAACTGACACCAGCTGGCAGAGGAACACTGCGTGGTAGGTGACTGTGGGTGAGGGTTTTCAGGGAGGCCTTAGGCCTCTGTAGATGGATGGCGTGACGGGGAAGCGTGCAGGAGTGTCCAACAAGGACTACAAGAAGTAGACTTGGGAAGGAACTGGAAACAGGCGTTGGTTGTCGTTCTCTGAGCACAGCGTGGCAGAACCGTCATCGCAAGTGAGGGCAGTGCACTTTGATGTGTGTCGTGCCGCAGAGAGAGCAGGGTGTCTCTAGTCTCCTGTCCTACTTCCCGGGACTTTCATTCTACCCCGCTAATTTCACATCGGCATTCTGCTCCTGTCTGACTTTGCGAGTGTTTCCGGCTTAGCTAGAGTTGGTATTCAAGGATGCACTAGACATTAAATATACCTGCTTCAGGGTACCAAGTGAAAATAGAATCTTAATAACCGCCTTCCTGTCGTCTCTCAGGCATCCTCTTTTATTTCAGGGCATCATGTCAAGGGATTCAGGAACACTGGCGTGTGTCTGTGTGTGCACAACATGGGGGACCATCTGCTGCTGTGAAGTATCTAAGTCAAATTGTGGTTCTCTAGGGACTCATTAAAAAAAAAAAAAAGTTAGCTAAAGACAGATTGACAACGCTTCACACAGCTTTGGAAATCTTGTCGTGGAAAGCCGGGACATGAAGCAGCCTAGATTCACATACATGTTGTTTTCGGGCTGTATAGCTCAGGGGGGATTTTTAATCCCGCTGTATTACTGGAGAAAACCTCTCAAAATAGCCCAGCCATTAGAAATGCTTACAGGTGCGCCCTGTGGATTTGGATGGAAAAGCCTCACATTTTAAAATAATAAAATTGTTCTGCAATTATGTGATACTTTACTGTCTTAGGGTTCACGAAATATTATATGGAAATGACTATTTTAAAAGATTGCCTTAAATTGATGAAATGGCTTCTTCTCTGTGGTGCTTATCACCACATTGGGGACTTTAGAGTCTCTACAGTCTAAAAAAAGTTCTACAGTGTTCTTTTGAACCAAAAAGGAGCCGGTCAAGATGGTATTCTTGTGGCTGTCAATAGATGAGGGGTAGATAAAGGGAAACCATGCCATAGTTGGAAAGCCAGGAGTACTGAGTGTGGGTAGCGCAACCAACCCCACCACATCTGGGGGGCAAGAGGGCTGCTTGTTATCTCACAGTTCATGATTTCTCCCAGGGGGTAGCAGGGTAGGAGCAGTATTGTCTTTCTGTGCATGGAGGTGCCACCAAGTCGATTTAACTGCAGATGGCCCGGACTCAGACATCACTTAGTGCAAGACAGTCTAGTCCTGTCTGTGAAGCAGAATGTACTGCTGGAGAAAGGTGGTTTCAACTCTTCTGATTTGCTGTAATCTAGAGGTGTCCCATATTAACAAACTGGTCATTCCTCACAAATTGCCCATTCTACAGCAGAACAGCCATGACCTTTTAGGTTCCTTCTTTATAGAATGGAGTACAAATAATTATACTAGCTTATGGTTTACTTAGCATGTCTCCTGCAAACCTTAATTGGGCTTCACAGCTCACATCCTAAGTAGAATTTGCTATCATGTTGAATAAATGCATTGAAGTCCAGTATCTGTATAATTTGCCATAGCCATATGGCTGGCACAATATTTAGTGGACAGTAATCCAGATTCATGGCACCTAGGGGTTACACCAACTTGAATGAAACATCTTGATGTCATTGTAGCTCGGTGTGGAGTTGTTTATTGACTTATCCATGTACACAGGCTTGAAGATTTTGACCATTATTTACATGAACATTGATACCAATAAAGACGATTAGAGAAGAGCGAGAAACCCATATCAGTGAGAGTAAGGCACAACCTGAATCTGTAGTTTTTTTAGAGTGGAAAGGGGCAAGATTCCTCCCCATCCCCCGTTAGTAACAAAGTTAGCTGATCAGCCACGGGCACACTGCCTGCTTGGTTGGTTAGTGACATTACAGATAGAAAATGGAGCTGTTTTCTCAGTTACTGACTGGCATCAGCCTTCAGGACAGTGTTTCTCAGTGAGATTCTGGAACCTCTGGGTGGTTTGTGTGCTGGAACAAGGCTTTTTAACTGTATGACTATTTTTGCATCAAAACCTGAGCCAAGGCTGGCACACACCGAAACTTTGCTGATAATGTTTATTTTTCAAAACTGTTATCCACACAGTTGCACACCTGTCTTCCAGCTTCAGGGACATCTGATGGGAAATGTTTGGGGGCAGTTATGGAAAGTAGCCCCTGGAGTTACCAGTGAATCCTTAGATGTTCAGAACCAATTCAAGGGCCAGGCAACTGCCTTAAGGAAACTGAAAAGTTGTCTGGCATTGCCATAGAACACAATGGCTCTCCTACACTCAGAAGTGACAACTTTTGAAGTAGATGAAATGGAGGTGGGGAGAAAGACACGACACAACACACACACACACACACACACACACACACACACACACACACACACACACACTCCTTATGCTTGGGAATGCTTTATACCCATCAAGTAACAACTGTTTTCTCCCCAAGAGATGCTTCGTCACAGCTCCCATCAGGAACAAACTGGACATGAGACTACAGAACCGGAGGGAAGGGAAATGAAAACATACAGATAAACTCGGTATTGCATAAGCATGTGTATAAAATTTAATGGGTTCCCGATTCCATTTCATAGAAATAAATTTCCTCTGTGAAAACCAGGTTCAGAACTCCCACTCAAACACAGCGTCAACCTCTGCTGTCCAAGCAACCCTGAATGCCTGTCCTCACTGCCACCTCGAGGAAAAAGGCTTTGCTGCTACCTGCATTTGAGAGCTATATAAATTATGCTATGAATATGTGACATTTGTGTTCCTAGCATACCAGGATCTCATGGCTAAGGGCGAGAAAACTCGAGAAAACTCGGGGGGACTGGGAAAGGATGGGCCAGGGTCTAGGCCACTGGAAGGCCCTTTCCTCCAATGGCCCAATGAGTCACCAAGGGAAGGAACTCTGGTATGGGCCTCAGATGTATTGACAGACATGTCCACCAATGGGGTATCTTTCTATGCTTCTATATATCACTGCTACTTAATTTTTTTTTAAAGTGGTCAGATCTGAACTAATGGAAAGTTCGAAAATAAGCAATTTCAATCTTCAGTTTTAAATCCAGTAGGAAACCTCACACTATTTTTACTTTTAGTAGGAAGATTTTCTTAAGGCATGAGGTATGTTAACAGGGCGTTTGAATCGCTGGACCTCTACTGGTGTTTCCTTAGACGCAAAGCACTTGAGATGTATGCATTTCGCTTAGATGAATATATACACGGTTTTTTTTTCACTACACTACGAACTATTCACGACATTTTTTTTTACAATAGGCAATGAGTTAGAACAATTAAAAGCCTCTAAGCACCACCCACAGTGATGTCAGCTTATGATTTTTCTTTTCCAAGTGAAGAACGTCTCTCCCCATGCTGAGTCATTGCAATTAATTCCTTCATTTCTGTCCCCTTGCCCCTGGAACGGTCCATGTCCGCAAGGCAAGGGAACATCTACGACTCCCCCTATGAGACACGGAAGCAGCTACTTCTGACGACACGGAAGCCGAGAGCACACAAAAATCGGAAAGAAGCCTTAGGGGACTGTACAGCGGACCATGCACGGAAATTTGACGCAACCAATCTGGGCCTTGTACTGATCGCTTTTTTTTTTTTTTTTAAATGGCATTTTCTTTTGAAAGGATAGATGAACCCATGCTCAAAAACCTTTCTAACGCATCTTGAAAATACAAGTTTTCCTTATTAATGATTTTTTAAATGTGGCACTTCAAAACAAGTTGGCACAAAATGAAAGTGACATTTGGTCTCTGGTTTGTGGTGGAGCCGCTCTGTCCATCTTCCCTCTCCCGCTCCAGCTCCGTCAGAGGGAGAAGCTAGTGTGGCGCAGGGCTCAGGGCCCCGGCTGGGTGACCTTGTTCTTGCTTTTCAGCGCGGTGTCCCCGGGGGCGGCCGCGGTGGCTTCCAAGGGGAGCCCCTGCTGCTGGTAGCCGTAGTTGACGTTCCCGCAGGGGAAGTGGCGCAGCCTGAACAGCGGCACCTCCTTCATGGTGGCGCTCAGCGCCGACGGCTCGAGCAGCAGCGCAGCCCCGGGTCTGCGGGGCCCCGCGCCCGGCCCGGTCCAGCCCCCCTCTGCTGCTCCGGCCCGCGCCTGCGGCTCCGCGCCCGGCGGCGGCGGCGGCGGGGGATGGGTCTTTTTGGCCGGCTTCTCCGTGAACCACGAGCCGTAGGTGGGGTTCCACAGGCTGGTCGGCTTGTTTCTGGAGCCCGCGCTCTTGTGCAGCTCCGGGGGAGGAGGGTTGGGCTGGGAGAACGCCATGTTCACGTGGCCCCGATCGGCCGCCCCCCGGGGTACCCGGACGGTACCCGCACCCACTCCCGCTCCGGCGCCTGCACCCGGGGGCTTCTTCACCAAGGGGCCTGGCGCCGCCAGGGCTGCGGGCTGGGGGGCGGCGGGTGCCTCCTCGTGCTTCACCGGCTGTGGGGACACCAGCAGAGGAGGTATGCCGTCGGGGTCTTTGGGCCTCATGGGTACTTTCTCCTCCTCCTCCACCACCGGGCCATACTCTATGGGCAGAGCTGTGTTGATGACGTCCGGATCCTGTGGGAAGGGGAGAGAGAGGACAGATGAGAACGGAATCGCAGAGATCTTGGATCTGGAAGAGATCTCAGAGAGTCATATCTATTTACAGAGGAGCCATTTTTGTCAACTTGATACAAACTAGAGTCACTCAGGAAAAAGAGGGATCTTGAACTGAATTACTGCCTCCATCCGATCGGCCTGTGGGCATGTCTGTGGGTCATTTTCATAATGATTGATGTGGGAGGGCCCAGTCCACGGTGGGCACTGTCACCCCTGGCAGGAGGTCCAGGGTTGTCTAAAACAAATAACAAGCTCCGGGCAAGCCAACAAGCAGCCTTCCTCCATGGTCTCTACTTGAGTTCCTGCCTCCAGGTTCCTGCCTCGATCTCCTGCCCTGGCTTCCCATGAGGATGGACAGTCAAGTGTTAAGATGAAGTAAATCTCTCCTTCCCGAGTTGCATTTGCTCGTGGTGGTCACCGCAGCAACAGTAAAGTAATACATTAACAGGTAGGCATAAGTAATGAGCGGGCATCACTGTTCTTGGAAGCCTTCAAAGAAACCATTGTAGTAGGAGTGGGTACCAGGTACTTATGGGGTGCTGCTAAGCAACCGCATCCAGAGCAGTGGAATGGGAGCAGAGCAGAAGCCCCTGGGACAATTTTACTTTATTTATTTTTTTTACAGATTCTAAAAACTTCATTAGATTTTAATGTGTGTATGTATATGCATTTTAATGTGTGTATGTATATGCATTCGGACATGCATGTGCTTTGGTGCGTGCATGGAAGTTGAGGACAACCCTATGGAGTGGGTCCTGGGGATCAAACTTAACATCATTTGGTTCTGGCAAGCAAGAACCTTAACTTGTTGAGGCCCCTGCATTTTGTCTGTCTTGCTTTTAACATTGTTTGAACAATATTATGGTCTACGTCCAATAATATTCTTGCAACTTAAAAGATGAAAGGTAGTGTGGCTTCTCTTTTGCTGCAGGGGGTGTGGCAGAGGAGAGGGGCACCGCGCCTGGCTTACAAAGGGTGTCATTTGCTCTCTTCCCAAGCACCTGCAGTTTCCCTCATATTTGGGCGATGGTTCAAAGTCACCTAAGGGTGACTTTGTATCATATGTTGTCATTACACACGCAGCCGTCCCAATGAAGAGACTCATTTGCCCGTTCTGATGTGGACAGGGCTTTTGTGGAATCGAGCAAATTCTCAATCGTGGCGAGGAGAAACCATTCACAAAAACAGCTTGGTCCTAGATCATTGTCACGGTCATAGACTGTAATAGGAAAGTGGACGCGGTTGCCAAGGGTTTAAGGGAAATTGGTGGGCGAACACTCTGGGGAAATTTAGTTCAGTAATAGTGTATGCAAATGGAGGGAGAACCCCCATTACTTAAGCTTTACAGAAGAACACACCAGTCCAGTATCTATCAGCAAAGGGTTTAAGAAAACAACAAATATCTTTTAATAAGCCATTTCATTTCTTCCCTGTTTTTTTTTTACTTTCACAGTAAGTCATTAAAAATATGCAGCTGTAGAATCATCTGCGTTTGCAAAGGTGTGTGAGTGTGTATATGTGTTTATGAGCGTATTCTCTTCCTGTTACAACATAGTAAGTTAAATGTCATTGAGCAAGGTTCCCTGAAACAGCCCCCAGCGAACATGGTCACTGACGCCCACCTCGATGAAGGGTTGAGAGAGGGTGGCTAGACAGACAGATGCTGAAGTCAGGTGAAAGCGTCAGTCCCTGGTCCAGTTGAGGGAATTTGGAGAGAGAGTGGTTCATTGTTGGACTTTTCTAAAACATCTCAGTGGTGAGGCCACTGGTAAGCATTTCCCATGCTCCAGCAGAGAAGCCCATGCACATACGTGTGTGGACTGGTTTTTATGTCAACTTGACACAGGTTAGTCATCTGAGAGGAGGGAACATCCATTGAGAAAATGCCTCCAGAAGATCTGGCTATAGGCAGGCCTGTAGGGCATCTCCTTAATTAGTGACTGATGGGGGAGGGCCCAGCCCATTGTGGGTGGTGCCACCCCTGGGCAGCTGGTCCTGGGTTCTATAATACAGCAGGCTGAGCAAACCATGAGGAGCAAGCCAGTGAACAGCAGCCCTCAGTAGCCTCTGCCCTTGCCTCCATATTTCGGCCCTAACTTCCTTCAGTGATGGACTGCGATATGGAAGTGTAAGCCCAATAAACCCTTTCCTCCCAGCTTGCTTTTGGTCATGGTGTTTCATCACAGCAATAGAAACCCTCACTAAGACATATGGGTAGCACTAACTGGACTTCCTGGGTTACCCAACGGACACACAACAAACACGAGCAACCACTAAAAAAGAAGACCAGAGGTTGGGAAGGGGCCATGTTAGGAAGATACCAAGGAGATGGAGGGGGTAAAGTATGTAGAGTGGGGGGGGGGAGAACATAAATAGAAAAACTGGGGAACAAAAGGGACTGGCCAAAGGGGGAGGGTGTTGAGGTATAGGGAGATTATGCCACCTTAATTTTGTATCCTGATAGGATCAGAGCCAGGAGGGAGGGGGGACGATCGGACCCAGTAAAGAGAAAAGTGGACACTGACATGAAGTCCTGAGGGGTAGCTGGTGACATGCTGATAGGGAGATGGACTGGGGAATGGAGTCGTCACTGAGGATGGTGGCCTGGCAAGTCTGTGCCAGAGACAGGGAGGAAAGAGATTCTCCCACCACCACCTCTATCCCCACCTGGTGGTGAGTGGGAGGTACTGCTGAAGATGAATAGACAATTCAGTCAAGATGGAGGAAGTAGGAGAGGGATCTGCAGAGACCCCAGGTTGCTAGGAATCCCTGTGACTTGGACAGCCTCTCCAAGCCTAGCCCCCTCCTCTGTAAGATGGGATAAAATGAACCCCCCATGAGAACAAAATAAAAAGACACAGGAAAGCGACTTGTGTAGTATAATCCCACGCAAGTGCTACCGATGGGTGATGGTTGGACTGTTTCTCCTGATTGCTTTAGCAATTCTATAGTCACCATCTATTTAATGTTGGTATTTGTCTAGCCAGGTTGTAAGTCTTGAGAGCTTTCATTCTCCTTTGAAGCCCCAGTTTCATCTACAAAGCGTTAGCTGTGTAGCTATCCATGACACTACAACAAGATGGCTACCTAAACAAGACCTGAGCATCAACAGACACACTAACACGGAAGGGGGAAATCTCTCAGACCCCACGCTTAGACAAAGAATGAAGGGCAACTAATGATGGCTGAGAGGGAGGATTAGTCTTCTCCAGGGTGGAATCCTCTAGTTGGTTATCCAATATCAAGGCGGGGGGGGTGGGGGCTGTGTTGGGGTTGGCCATGAAATCAAATAGTCATTCATATATATATATATGAATGGGGAAATATATATATCTCCTTGTGTGTGAACACAAAATGGATTCAGTAGGTTGTATTTATATGCATATATATGTACCAATAATAATCAAAGAAAAATGTCATGATTTGAGAGGCACTAAAGAGGGTGTGTGTGTGTGTGTGTGTGTGTGTGTGTGTGTGTGTGTAGAGATTGGAGTAAGGAAAAGGAAATGATGTAATTATATTTTAATTGTTAAAAGACGACAACAAAAGCCCATTAACTATCCAGCAGGATTAGCTAATGCTTGGGAAGTGGACAGATTCTGTCGGGCGCTGGTGAAGAAAGTGGACATTTCCAGGGTTTACTGTAGGACATGGGCGGGCACAGTGAGATGCCAGTCGTGTCATTTCAGAGATCAGGAATATCGGGCCTCACGATCACCGATCTTATTATAAATATTATATAATATCAAATTGTATGTAACGTTCCCACAGAGATTAAAGGCTGGTCAGGGGAGAAAACACTTTACCTGGGTGCAGTACTCAATCCTCTCCAAAATGATGGCGAAGTTGGGTCTGTCTTCAGGCTGATGCTGCCAGCACTGAGTCATAATCCGATAGCTGTAAGAATAGCACATTAATGGATCAGGAGAAGCACCCAGGAAGGCGGCCCTGTCTCCCCCAGCTCCTTTCTCAATCAAGCCAAAGCTTTAGGATGGGACGCCATCTAAGTCCACGTGGTTGACCTATTCTGCCCCCTGCTGGTGTGACAGGGAATCCCGCCCAAACGTAAGTCCCTGCTGTTTACATCAAATCCCACTTTTCTGAAGCCACGTTTAGGGTAGGATATTTTATTCCCATCTTGTTTTGGGAAAGGAGGTAAGGGTGAAAGGCGATTCTGAAGTGTGTAGGGCTAGTGAGTCCATAGCCTCCAGCCGGGCAATTTGGACTCCTTTCTGGGATGACATTATTCTGTTTGAAAGGCTGGAAGACAAACCCATCTTGCTGAAGTCTCTGGCCCACCGTGTTTGGGGACATGTTAAAAGAAGGCTGCCACTTTCCCTTTAATATTAAAGGGGCATATGTGGATCCAAATACTTAAAAACAAGACCGTGCTCAGTTTCTAGTAGGAAGTTCTGAAAGGTCGTACACAGGCCCAGGGCAGTTCTTAGGTGGGTCCATCCGTCCTCCACTGGTGACAAACTCCAGAACTTCCTGGTTGCTCTTGCTGGGGTATGGCATATACCCGAGAGAAAATATTTCCCACAGCAACACTCCAAAAGACCTGGGCATGGAACAGAAGACACAGATACGGATATGGATGTATGCACACGCACAGATACCTAAGTTTTTAGTATGTTTTCCATAATGCCACCTTCTGTAACAAAGGGCTCTGTGTGTATGTGTGTGTACACACACCCGAGTCCAAAGGACAACAACCTGAAGTATTGTTTCTCAGGAACCATCTACCATTTTTTTTTGTTTTAAATAATGATTCTCTCTGTCTCTGTCTGTCTGTCTGTCTCTCTCTCTCTCTCTGTGTGTGTGTGTGTGTGAGTTCGTGTTCCTGTGCACATATGCATGCTCATATGTGTATGAAGGTATTCACAGAGGCCAGAAGAGGGCATCAGATTCCCTGGAGCTGGAGTTACAGGTGGTTGTGAGCCATCCAGTGTGAGAGCTGGGAACTGAACCCAGGTCCTCTGGAAGAGCAACAAGCACTCTTAACCATGGAGTCTTCTCTCCTGCCCCTAACTTGCTTTTTTTCATTTAAAAAATTCTTTTATATTTTTAGATACAATTTCTCAGTGGCCTGGGGTTCACCAAAAAGGCTAGGCTGGCTAGCCAGTGAACCCCAGAAATTGTCTCTTCCTATCCCCCAATTTCTAGCATTATAAGCTGCTCTATCCTTCAACTCCCCCCCCCCCTCTTCTTCTGAGTTCTGGCGATGGAACCAGGTCCTTTTGCCTGCAACCTATAAGCACTTCACTGGCTGAGTTATCGCTCCAGTCCAGAGGAATTTCTAGATCCAGAAAAATGAATATCCAAGCATCCATATGATTCTCCATTAAAAGATAACCCGTTAGCATACTTTTCATTCCAGCCAAGCTCTGTGCCTAGATTTCTTTTTACATAATCGTAGCTATAGAACCTTGGTAATTTTCCTCATTT